GCTTTGTTTCTGTACGTTTTAAGACCATCTCTCTCGGAAGGCCTCCCCTCCGCCCCTGTTTTTTTCTGCCTGCACAGCTGAAACAAAACCGGCGGTGGAGCCACCTTCTCTTGCTGGAGCCTGGCTGGCAACAGCCTGCCCTGACCTGAGACACCAGCCATTGTTAAGGGTATAACACATTTACATATTTTGCAATAAAACATCAGTTATTTGCATTACTGTGTCAAGTTTTATTTGATTCTTTCACCTAAAAATGACTCATTTTCCTTTCTTGTATTTTAAAAACCAACTACTCTAAGCTTGTTTGAGAATAATCAAAAATTGCCCATTTAGCTAGAAGTCATTTTCTTTTCAAAAGGCAAATGTTATTTAATCTTTCAGCTGTTCATTGTGCCATCATAAATACTTTCTTTTCAGCACAGTTGTGGGGACTGAAATGAGCCCACTAATTGCCTCCCATTTCGACTGACATGTGGTGGTTTAGTGGAAAGAGAACACAGCGGGGAGAAGGAAATAGGAGGCTGAGAAAATGAGAGCTAATTATTTTCACTGCCTCATGTCAGGCTCTGTGTCAGCCTTGTTTTTACAAACTGGAAGGTTTAGCACTAAATAAAACAAACTGGCGTCATGTTTTTATATACTGGCAGTGTCATGGAAGCAGCTGCACATCTCAAAGACAATATAATGCCTGCATTCGCATGGACACCATCTGACAGCCACTGTGAGCCACTGCTAATGAGGATATCACAGTGGTGCCAAGTGAAAGGTGCTGAATTATGTATGATTCTTCATCAGTGCAGCAATAGTCCTGTACATCATTATGAGACATTGTTTTGCTGAAGAGATTAAAACATTCTTAGTTCCAGACCCTGCAACCTATACACGCTACAAGAGGTTATTAATGGAATTTTTAGGGAGAGTTTCTTGTGGATTTCTTTTTGGTTAAAAATATCTCATGGGACAAAGCCGTGGTGGGTCATGACACTATATATATAAAGAAGAGAAGCAAATTAACCATAATTGTGTTATCTTCCTTTAAATCCAGAATAATAAAATATAGTGTAGCAGGGTGATACATAATGATAAATAACCCAAGTGCTGTCACTAGATGTTCAACTCTAATGCCTTTAAAACAGCAGGTTTCAGCAGCTGAGATAGATAATAGCTAAGAATGTAAAGGAGCTTCTGGGGACCTAAATCATCAACATGCTACTACTTTTAGTACCAGCATGACCAACATTTTTTTCATATTTGTTTCATCTTACGTTATATCTTACTTTTCTTCTAATATCCAGTTGCCTGCTACAATGCTGGTTTCATTTTTTCTTCAGCCTTAAAAAAAAAAAAAATTATTGCAACCACCGATTTTAAAACGAATCCTAGATTTGGGCCTCCTTGAAAAATGAGGTGTCTCCCCAGCAAGAGTTTTAAGCTGTTGTGGCAGGAGACATGTTTGTTGTTTAAAGCCTGTGCCTGATCTTTTTCATTTCCCTTTCAGTTTTTGTTGCAGACGTTAGCGCATATGGGGTTAAAGGAGTATTGTCACCACAGTAAGCTGGAGACTTAATTTTTAAAGTGTTCTTATTTTGTGTTTCAAAGCTGAGGATAAGTGGCTGAAAATACATGTGTGATTTGCTTTTCTTTTCTACAATCATTTGCAGAAGCTGATGATTTATTGGCTTTGTCAAAGTGTTATTCGGAAGTGTTTTTCACACAAAGTTTTGCTGGTTGTGCCTCTCCGTTCTGAAACAAGATTTTTTTTTTTAAACAAAAAGCTGAAATTCTTTATTTAAATCAAAATTGAGCAGGTAACTATTGGGAGGTATTTTAATTCTTGAATTACAAGATGTTCAGGGAAATCTCTTTGAAGGACTCGTGTAAGTATATTTATCAACCAGACGTTTTGAACAAGCCATTTCCAAATTATTTTCCCACATACGTCTGGCACGAAATGTAGTCTCAATCCAAGAAATCTTATGGCTCCAATTCATCAAAGAATTGAAATGCGTATACTTGGTTATTCTAGCCAAATTTTTGCTTAAGCAGCTGAGCATCTCTCTCCTATTCATTGCTAAGTAAGAACCTAGAACTCGATTGGAAAACAGGGAAATATATCCCTTTCTGCAGCACACAAATCTCACATTATTTACTGTGTGGTTGAACAAAATGGTTACCGGGTTTGTAAGACAAGTAGCCACCTACTTATCTTAGGTATTTCCCAAGTGCCCTGATTCAAAAGTCACCTAGCTGCTGTCTTTCCTCCTTCCTTTTCCTTCGTTCCTTCTCTCTTTTTTTCTCTTTTCTCTTTTTCTCCCAACCTCTCCTTCCCTTTCTCTCCTCTATTTCCCTTTCTCTTTCTTTCTGTCTTTCCCCTTTCCACTGATGATTTTACAATACTACAAAATGAAAACCTTTCCAAATAAAAGGAGATACGTGGTTTTGAGTGACCAGAGAGGGTATGTTTAGTGCAGGAATTTGCCCTCTTGGTACCTATGCGATGTGGATGGAGAGGACTCCAGGGAGAACCAAACGTTTAGAGGCTGGATTTGAAGGACAGGAGAGTGTATTTCTTTCTCTGAAGCAGCAGTTCACAGCCAAGAAGGCGGTGTTTGTGCAGGGCTGGTGCATCCCCCAGCTGCGTGGGGCAGCCTGATTCGTTACTGCACGGAGAGGACTCCTGCGTGCGCGGCAAGGGGCTGGGCACTGGCAGGTGCCCACCACCTGCCAGGCCCTGGGTTTGCACAGCTCGACAGCCTCTTCTTTAGAGATGGTCGATTGATTTATGTTGTTTATTAAAAAAAGCTCACACCTGTCAGATCCGGTCTGTGCGGAGATGTGAGTGAACAGCACAAAATCATGAGTCGTGCAGGCACAGGAGCCCTGTCACGAGGTGCAGCCCTGGCTCTTGGGTGCTTGTCAGTGGTCTCACAGCAGGAGATGACCTGAATTCGCTGAAGGATAGTATTTTGTGCCAATGTTTTGTTCTTTCCTTGGCTCAGGTGTTTTTGTAAAACTAACAAATGTCATCAAGCATCCTGTCTCTAACCTCGTTAGATCTGCAATAGGGAGGGAATCCAGGTAGCGTGAATTTAGGAAATCCTGCAAAAAAAGTCTGGCAACAAGGATGGTGTGGGCAGGCAGAGGACAGTTTGAGAGTCAAGGAGGAGTAAAAGACAACTTTCTCTGCCGTTGTGGTTCAGTTACATAGCATGTATGGTCCTCAGCAGACATCAGGGCCGGTACCTCGTGCTGTACCTGCCCAGGAATGACAGATATAACCCTGGGTTAGCTCACTACCCAAAAAAGCAGGACAGAAAAAGGATGGGCAAAGAGATACGGTCCATGATTAAGAAACGGAGGCACAGGGTGACTTCAGCGTCTTCTCAGGTTGCACAGGAAGCCAATGGCAGAACTGGAAACTGAACTCGATGCCTCCAAGTCTTGGTCCGGTGCCCTGACTGCTGGACCGTGGTTCCCATCACTCAAACTCGCACCGAGGTGATGCAAAAACAAACTCACACGTCCACTCTGCTGTTAAAACGTGGAAGCTTTCAATGGGTACAGATGGACACACAGGGCCAAATGCTTTCATAAGCATAATTTGTTGCAGTTCGGAAATGATTATACTCCAGTTTTCTTTTATCTTGGAATTGCCAATTCAATGCCTGATTGAAAGCTTTGAGACTTCTGAGGGCTGAGCTCCTACGTTACATTTATGAGAGATGCACGTGCAAACACTAGCAGATAATCGCCTGTGAGAACGGATACTTTTTAGGCTGCTGTACGTTTGTGTGTGCAAACAACTGCTTACGCAAGCCCTTGGCCCCGAGCGGCCATCTGTGTCCCCATTGAAAGTTTTTGCGTTTTCCGAGCAGCATTGAGAAGACTGCCTCCTGCAAACGCTGAGACCGGCCCTGCCTGGCTTCTCCGTGTGCTGCGGACACAGACCCTCCTGAAGCCCTGGCATGTCTGGAGGAGCTTCTGTCTCTGTGAAGGGCAGATTCCCCCCTGCCTATGGAGATGGAGACATTCCGCTTCACTGCAGCCCTGTTGTCCCTTTGGAGGACCTCAGTGCACCGGCCACTATCTAATCCCCAAAGCACCTGCTGGGCACGCCAGCAAATGTTGGCTGGTTTGCACCATGGACAGTCAGTCTCTGGTTCCCAGTGGGAGCCTCCCTGGCCACAGGCAGAGTCCGCTCCCAGCACTCAGCCTGCGCGGGATGTCCTGAAGGATGCTGCCAGAGCCATTAGCCTCTTGCAGGCGCACACATGTGCAAAATGTTGGATGCTGGCCTCATGTTCAGCTCATGGTATTATTTAAGGATGCCTTTCATTGTTTTGGTCTATTAAACTCACTGTGATTACTTTCTAAGCTGAGCTTGCTTATGATTAATAGTGCAATCAGAGGTGAGCGGGAGCTGCGGAAGCGCAGTGCCTCGCTGGGCGCTCAGTGTCTGAAATAACTGAGCTGTAGTAACCAGCTCACCCTCTTGCCCGTTCTTTGAGCCACTGTCCTAATGGTGTTTCACGGACGCTCTGGGCGTCTTTGTTCCCAGGTTCAGCGAGACAAT